CTTGATTAGGGTATTGTTTACTGCTGATTGTATGTCTGGTGATAATCTTGGTGTTAATCTCCGCTTATCTGGGTGATGATTGCTGGGGAGGAGATGTTCTGGCATTTCCCCCCTCCCCCTTTCTATTGTCTCTTTTGAATAGTGTGTAGAAGTTGTTTATCTCTATGTGTCTGTGGATGGCTTATAAATAAATTATAAAAATTAAAATTAAAGACTTAATTGTTCATTTTAGATTTTAGTTTCATTAGGGCTTTATAAACTGCTGTTATATGTATGTAGTTATCTGATTTTGTTAATTTTATTTTACTACTCTTCCTCCCATTACTTGCTTATTTGTTTTTTTGTATTTTATTGGTATTAATTAAGGAACCTGATGGAAACGTAATAGCAGATTGGATCATTTTTTCATATTTGGTGGCAATGTTGTAAAGTTCAATAATTTTGGACAATGATCCATATTAGAACGAAACAAATTTTAAACGTTTAATTCTTATTTCAACCTGCAATGTTTTTATTAAACTTTACTAAACTATAATGCTTTCAAAGTATACTGAATTAGCTTTTTATATGTTAACTGCACAGAGATCTATACCTCTTATTGGAAAGACTATTTGATTGGTTCCTTGGAAGAATGGCTACCCAAATTGTGGGAATATGCTTCAATGTACAGAATAACTTCGTATCTTATCTGACACAGAATTCAATTCTATTTGGAAACCATTCTTGGACTATAACTTAACACATGGATTTGTATCTCATCCAAAATTTGAGATTCTTTCAAAATCAGAATCTACAGAAACTATACTCTATGTAAAGAATTAACTTCATGGGATATTCCAGTTACAATAGATTCTCAGTACGATTCATTATAGCTTATAATTACAATCAGTTATTTATACTGTATTGACCACGGTCCCTAATATGTACTCGTACTCTAAAACGTAAGAATGATTCTTAGTTTTTCAAAGCAATGCAGTGTAGTCTATAATTTGTATGTAATTAATGAATTACATTGGAAAACTATCTCCATGATATTTTAGAACCCTTATTTACTTATTTGTATTTTACTATTTGTATTCGAAATTTTTATTCTTTTTACTTGTCTTTTATTTCTCTTTGTTTCTAGTCTTTCTCTAGATTGTCCAATAAAAAAAGGGAAAGAAAAAAGGAATTAGGAATCTCTATCACAAGGAGCACTACATAATGCACTGGTGCTACTGTTGCAGTGCCTCTCCCCCTCCTGTTTCACATCTCATTATGGTTGTTTTAGTCCAGGCTGCCATATTTGTTTTATGTGTCTTTTAACTGTTTTTAGTTATTTGATATTGTAAGCCACCCAGACTTCTGGAGTGGCTGGCCATAATAAATTTGAAAAATAAATAAATTAAATGAACTTGGATTCTCACAATTTGACCAAATTGTCTATTGTGTATTAATATTTTGTGTGGTATGTATTAATGTTTTGTGTGCATAAGTTTCAAAGAAATTCCAAAACTTGCAGATTTCACAGAGAAGAGCAACAGAAAATAAACACTCTCTCTTTATTAAAACATTACCAAAGCAATATAACTGTTTCTCCAAAAAAATATTATCCATCATGACTGGGGCTTCATTTAGCTGCAGTCAGGTATCAGTTTCCTAAAAACCAATGAGTATATTGTTTGTGCTCATGCAACTGCTCTGATTTACAGAAATATGTAATCCTAAGGGAGGTACCTACTACAGTTATCTAGAAAATTAACCATGTTGCACCTTTAGAGTACAAATCACGCAGAAATAGTTTACGATGCTAAAATTGTGTTTCTATCTGATCCAGAATGGTCTAATACAAAGCAAAGTTTGTATGAAGAAAAACATTCCTGAAGAAAAAAAAGTCCTCAAGGGCTCACTGTGGCAGTCCCTTATAGAGAAAGAATAACAAACAAAAAAGACAACAAGGAGCGCACAAATGTTGTTTAGGTGCTCTTAAAATTCTATTCTATTCTATTCTATTCTATTCTATTCTATTCTATTCTATTCTATTCTATTCTATTCTATTCTATTCTATTCTATTCTATTCCTAAAGACAGTAGGACAGGCTGCATTGGTTCATTTTAATAGTGAACACTTTTACACATTTTGTGGAACAAGTAAGAGAATGGGGAAAAGAAAGAAGTGACACAGAATGAATTCAGGGACAAACATCACTTCAAATACTCCAAAGCAATTGAAAATTGCCGACTACATGCTTCCATGGACTGTGATCTATAAAACTTCTGAGATAATTAAAGTGGTAAAATGAAGTGACACAAGACTCTTGTTTTAAAAGGCTGAGGGGGAATTAGTCCATGAATAGTAAACATGAACAATTAACATATTTCATGCTTTCTAAGACCATAATATTAACAGGACTCTGCCATTATTGACATTTTGTTAATCTTTGTACCCTTCCCAGTTTTAACATTGAATTTATATTTGGTTTGAAATATTCCAGAAAAAAATTGCAATATCTTCCCAAACTAACCCAGCTTTACATTAGAAAATAATTCATATCACATGTATAATAAGAACAAACTGCTGTAATGTTAATTGATTATTTAGCAAATATAGTGGATAAACAAGGTAGGGAAAGCCTGCAGTTTCTGGAATAGAAAGAAATAATAGGAAAGAATCGGGCCCCTCTAAATCACATGATCAGGAGGAGGAAAAGAGGGGAGCTTGGACTGCAACAATTGGCAGCATTCCAAGTCGCTGCTAAACAGCCTTTCCGACACAGTTGCTTCGGGGGATTTTTTTCTAAAGTATTTTCTCCACAGCTCCCAACATTATCCAGCTCATTTCAAACTTGATCTCTCCTTTGTCAGTTTCTCTTCCCAAATCAAGTTTCGACACATTCTGTTCAGCTGCCAGAGTTATCATGATGGACAGACAGAATCTCAATTCCCTTTACATAATCTCTTTCTAACTTCCATTGAGTTGAAAAGAATAAAAAAATATAAAGATGTTGTCAAGTCAAATTTTTTTCCAGGTAATTGAATCCATGCAGGTTCTATGGCAGTGTTACTACATGAAAATCCTTATTAAAAGCAGTGTGACTTTTTAGCACATTTATTATGCAATGTTAATTTAAATCCTTACAAACTGAAATTTAATAGCTAAATATATAGTCAGATTTTTAAAATTACAGGATCACTATGAGAAGGTTGGCTAATCTGCACAGAAAAGCATACAGGTAGTCCTTGACTTACAACCATTTGTTTAACAACTGTTTGAAGTTATGATGGCACTGAAAAAAGTGACTTATGACTGGTCCTCGCACTTACGTTTGTTGCAGTGTTCCCATGGTCACATGGGAATTCAGGCACTTGGCAACCAGCATGTATTTATGACAGTTGCAATGTCTCGAGGTCACGTGATCGCCATTTGTGCCCTTCCCAGGAGGCTTCTGACAAGCAAAGTCAGTGGGATAAACCAAATTCACTTAACGATCGCATGATTTGCTTAATGACTGTGGCAAAAGGTCATAAAATTGGGTGCAGCTCACTTAACATTGCTTAGCGATGGAAGTTCCAGCCCCAATTGTGGTCATAAGTTGAGGACCACCTGTACATACGCGCACATGTATGTGTATAGATAGATGGATAGATATATAGATATATATGATTTTCAATTCAAAAGCTTGGATTCAAAACCATATATAAATAGCATTTCTCCAAGGGGAAAAAATTGAAAGAGCACGCTTTTATGGTATTTTTTGGTCAACTAGAATGTACTAAAGCGTACAAAAATTTGGTTTAAGATCTGGATTCCTACATTAATTAAGCTTTGTATCTATATATTCCCAAATCAAAATGAACAACTTGAAAGCAGATAACATTACATTTCCTGCTGTACCTAACAGTTTCCTGCTGTCCAATTTCTGTCTGTTCAAAGGGTTGGTACCATAAAGCAGTGTGTGTGCTTCTGAATGCACGGTCTGTAATTCTTCTAGAGTTGCTTTTCTTCCACGGATGCACTATATGAGAAAAGAAAGCAGTGAAATTCCATTTACCATGATGAAACAAAAGCAGCATCCCAAAGAGAAAAATATAACTGAAGTTGTACATACATGTGATTGACCAAAGAGATTATATCAGAACTGCATTTACTTGACAAGGCTTCTCTATTTTCATTCTGAAATTTTGAACAATCATTCTCAAATTACAGAATTTTAGGATTTTTGCTGTTTTGGGGACAGAAAAGCAAGAATATTCGTACCATGAATTTCTGTTCTAGGAACCTCATGGGGGGGGGCATTCTTTGACTTAGAGATGGTGCTTCCTTCTGGTACTTATAAGGCAGGGCCACCTCTTGCTTGCCAGGAGGAGGAAATGCCCACATTGCCCAGATCAGAATGACACAAAACAAACGGCTATTAACCTTCATGCCCTCCATGAGGCTTCTAGAAGAGAAATTATAGAAAATTTCCATTTTATCCAAAGTTCCCAAAAGGACATTATGGACATAATAGAGCAATTAAGGGTAGCAGCATGAGATCAGGAACTTTAATCCCAGAACCTCTAAGAAATCTTCTGGACAAAGGCTGTAAGAAGAAAATGCACTGTCAATTTTATAATATTTGGTGAGCACATAAATGGAAGACACCTTACAGAATGGATAAATGCCCTTTAAAAGCAGCCAAGATTCCCACCCTCCATAAGTTGAATGTGCTGAAAGCTGTTTCCTATCATCTTATATACCAAGGCAAAACATTCCTTAATCCAGAAGGATACAGTAAATGAAAGACCAAGGGCATGAACAAAACCTGTGATGTTTTCTGTTCTGTCCAGACAGAAATTGGCAGAAGTGCTTATGCCACCACATTATCTGAAATGAACTGCACTGAGGGTGGGTGGAATTGTACAGAGCTCTGTTGAAACTAAGAGAAAAGGAACTTCTTAGCCTTTATAAAGTATTATCATATATTGATATCATCATATAAAATACATAATTCAGAATTCCACCAGTGGAACATTTGGGCTGATGGGCACACATTGTTTCAGAGCAACAGACAATGTATGAGAGGAATGAAATAAAATTGTCATTAGGAGTGAACTTACCTGCATACACTGGCCGGTGGAACTAACTTTGGGTGCAAGTGACCACACATTGTTAAAGTTCTTGATTTTAACAAAAAAGTTTAGTAAAAAAAAACAATCAAAGACAAACCATGAATTTTAGAAAGGCCAATTTTAAACAACTAAGAAAAATAATGCTATAGGAAGAAAACCTTAAAAGCAAAGGTGTAATAGCCAGCTGGAACTTTCTGAACAGGGAATTAAGAATAGTGTAGTCACAAACAATGCTAGAAGGAAAACTAGGAAACATCTAAGAGAGCCAATGTCATTGAATAGGGAGCTTGATAAGGAGCTGAAATTAAAGTAATTTGTTTATTGGCTTCAGCTCAGAAATACAAAAAACAAGGTCAGAAAGGGAAGGGTGGAAAATGAGCTGAGAAGAAAGCAAAATCCAACAAGAAGTATATATCAATAGGAAGAGTAAGCCAAAGGAGGTGGTGGACTCACTTGCTTACTCCAAATGGAGAAATCTTAACAGATGACCAAGAGAAAGCAGAGGAATTCAACTCCTATTCTGTCTCTATCTTTACATCCAAAGGAAATGGTGATCTGAGTAACACAGAATAGAAACAAACACAACAGAGGAGGAGGCAAGTCAGTAAGGAAATGGAAACTTCTAGCTGGTTTGAATGCTTTTAAGTCTCCAGGCCCTGAATTATGGTCTGGTTATCAAATTTGTGAATGACATAAAATTATGAAATCTAACTAACACTCAGAATTGCAATCAAATCTGAATAGGTAGGATGACTGGAGTAAAAGGAACAAGATATCCTGTTACAGGAAAAACAAATGAAAGGATTACATTTTAGGAGGAAAAATAAAAGAGAAGCATACAAGATAGTGGATTGAAAGCACACCACCAAAGAAGAATGTGGGTTTTGTCACTGACAACAAGCTGAACATGAGCGGGCAATATGGGACACCTTCTACAACAGCAAACACATTTTTATGCCACATTTGAAGAAATATTGTATCAGGACTCATTCAGTCCTTATTCCCCTTTACTCTATGCTGGTGAGAGCACACCTGCATACGGTTCTGGGCTCCACATTTCTAGAAGGGCATTAACAAGTTAGAATAGGTTCAGAGAAGGGCAACCAAGATGATACAGGGACTTGAGGAAATGTTCTCTGACAACAGACTGAATCAACCTGGGATGTTCAGTCTGGACAAACCATGACTGAGGGAGATATGATCAGTATTAAGTTACATAAAAGGATGCCATAAGGAAGATGGTCAGGAAATATTTTCTATTGCCAGAGAAACTAGGATCAGAAATAATGGATATAGTTTGCAATTAAATAGATCTTGTTTAAATATAAGGAAAAACTTCCTGATTATAAGATCTAGACAATAACAGAACAATCTGTCTACGGAGATTGTGGGTTCTCTATCTATGGAAGTTTTTATGAAGAGGCAAGACAGCTACATTTCAAAGAGAGTTTGTTTTTCCTGCACACTGCAGAAGCTTGAATTAGATGGTACTTGTGATCTCTTCCAAATCCATAATTCTACGATTCTATGTTTTGTCAACAGATCATCCAATTCTGATATGCTGACAGGCTGAGAATGGAAGTTCTGCCACCAAGAATAGTCTTCAGCAAGAGTAATTTTAAGAAACAAGTAGTTACATATTCAAAAGGAAGCTTCCAAAAAAAGTTAAAGTTCCATGAACAGAAACTGTGCACAACTGAATAAATGCAAAACTACATCCCATGGAAAACTTTTAATAAAAGGTTGGGAAGAAAAAATATTTTGCCCCTGTACATGTCAGATTCAGTAGGCACGGCATGGCGAAAGGTATGCTCAACTTCGCCTAGTCAATTTCGCCGCCCAGGCACTAGCAGAGGAAAAGGGGAAGTGAAACTGCGAACTGACTACCGGCAGGTGGCGGTGCTTAACTAAAACCGCAAGCGGATACTTTGTATCAGTGCCGGCTTCCAAGTGCTGGAGACGAAGGAATGCGCAGAGACTCTGAAGCAAAGCAATCAACTAGCGATTGAGAACTCCCGGCTTTGCGCACAACTGGGGAAACCAACAAAGACAACAACAGCACAACCCATAGACAGCAATCAGAAAGACAAAGCACCAGGCTGAATCTGCCATTTGGGCGAGGGGGGATTATTGCGGGTAATCTGTAACTAAGCAATGGGGAAAACCGCGGGAACGGGGAAGATATAAAATACATTGTAAGATGTGCCAAGCCAACCCTGGCTTTGTCTGTACTTACTTACGTTATGCTTGAGTAAACTTCTTTGCTGAACACACGCCATGAGACACACGTCAGAGAGTTTCTCTGAGATGAACGGGGTAAACCTTACCGTACAGTCAAAAGGACTGCTAAAAGCTTTTGTCCACTTCTGGATGAAGAAACCCTAGCACCTCCTTCATCTCACACAGCCCAACTGGCACATATCATAATGGCACTAAGCTAGAAATGGAATATAACCTATTGCTGGATTTATGTCTGCTAAGAAGATGCTGAGACCTCTCACCAGAAACCTAACAGTAAAAAGCCACCGAGATTCAATCTCTAGACTGTCACTTGAAAGATAACAGGATTACAGACTGTAATCTTTGAGAACTCCTTGAGTACAGGGGAAATGACAGAGTACAGTAGATGGAAAAGAACTAATGTTGATCCCATCTTTAAAAAGGGGGGGGGAAAATAGATCCAGGAAACTGTAGACTGGTCAGGTTTACACCAATACCTGGGAAGATCTAGAAAAAAATCATCAAGTAGTGGGTTTGCAAAGACTTAGAAAGAAAGAAGATGAGCACTGGAAGTTTCTTAAAAACACACTGTCCCAGATAAATCTTACTGATTTTTGGGGGGTGGGGGACAAAGTAACTAGACTAGTAGACCAAGGGAATGCTGTGAATGTAGTGTACCTAGACTTCAGTAAGGCATTTGATGAAGCTGATTCTAGCCTCCTTCTTGATAAAATGAACCAATGGGGAGGGGAGGAAGACAGGGATGAATGGTCCCATTATAAGATGGATTTGCAGTTTCTTGAACTGTATCCAGCTGTATCCTTAATGATTCTATGTCCACATGGAGTACCTAAGGGTCCTGTCTTGGTCCTTAATGCTCTTCAATGTTTTCATAAATGACTTAGATGAATGGATAGAAGGCATGATCATCAAATTTGCAATTGACACAAAATGGGATGGGGGGACAGGGGGATTGCTGCTATATCATAAAACAGGCTCAAGATTCAAAAGGATTTTGATAGGCTTGAACATTGGGCCCTATCTAACAAGATACAGTTTAACTGTGAGAAATGTTAGGTTCTACATTTATGTACAGTAAGAAAATGCATAGATGCAGAGATTACAAATAAAAAGTACCTGGCTCAGCAGCAGTTTTTGTGAAAAGGATCTGGATATCATGGTAGACCACAAATGAAGCATGAACTCGGAGTGTGCTGCAGCTGCCAAAGAGCCAATGCAATATTGAATTGTATCAATAGAGTTATAGTGTTGAAATCATGGTAAGTGATAGTTCTGCTCTATGCTGTACTGATCAGACTGTGCCTGGAATACCGTGTCTAGTTCTGGTCACAATACAAAAAGGATGCTAAGGAACTGGAAAGAGAGGGGAGGGGAGGGGGGGAGGGGAGATGGTGAGGAGCTTGGAGACTAAATCCCATGAACAGTGGTTAAAAGAACAGGGTATGTTTAGTTTAAAGAAGAGAACACTAAGATGGTAGTTTTCAAATACTTGAAGAACTACAAAAAGAGAGCATGTGGATTTGTTCTCCATAGGTCCTGAAGCTTCACAGGATATTCCTGTAAAGCCTCCATAGGTTGGAAGCTTTACAGGGGATTCAAATTCAATTATAGGTAGTCCTCTCTTAGTGACCACAATTGGGACCAGCAACTCCATCGCTAAGCACCACAGTCACTAAGCAGAAAACCACATGACAGCAATGGACTTGCAACGTCACTTCCCATTAGGTTGTTAAGCAGGTCACCGAGGTTGTTAAGTGAAACATCACGTGACTGCAACTTACGATTTTACTTCCACACTTTCTGTTAACTCTGGTTGTTGCAAGCTGGTTGGGAAGCATGCAAATGGTAATCAGGTGGTCGCAGGATGTTGCAACGGTTGTAAATACACACTGGTTGCAAAGCGCCCAAATGGTGATCATGTGACTGCAGGACACTGTGACAGTTATAAATGCAAGGATTGGTTGCAAAGCTGCTTTTTTACTGTTGTAAACTTTGAACAGTCACTAAACAAGGCAGTCAGTAAGCAAGGACTACCTGTAGGAAGGAATTTCCCGACTGTGAAAGGTATTAAGCATATTAATGGAGTAACTTTGTAGATTTCCTTTTCAAATTCGGGGGATAATAACTTGGCTGTCAGTATTGTAAGTTTACTTTCCAAGATTTATCTGGTACTTCCTCTGATTAGTTACTTTAAAAATCTGGGAAAACATCTTAGAAGAAGGCAATGACAAACTATTTCCAAACTGATGCCAAGAAAACTACATGGCATGTCTATGAGGTCATCAGGAATTCAGCTGATCTTGAAAGAGACTCTACTTAATCAGAAAGAACAGAAATGTAGCATAGTGATTGACTTGGACTCAGGGATATTCAGGTTCAGTACTCCACTGAAACAAACAGCTTACTGGATGACTTTGGATCAATCCCTCAGCTCTCTCTTTCTCTCTCAGGATTGTTGTTTTGGGGATAAAATGAAAGGAAATCCTAGGGTACACTGCTCTAAGCTCTCAAGAGAATGTATAAACACGTGCAATAAATAAACACATTGCCTCTCTTAAACCATTTATGGGAAATAAGAGATAAACCCCAACTTCATTAAAACATTATGGGGGGATGTACTGACTAATGAATTACCTGCTCATATACGAATTAATTGTGGCAATGTTCATTTAGTGGTTATATTAATTCAGTTGTAACAGTATATAGAAAATTATCATTATTATTTATATTTATATATTGCTTCATATGCTCAAGCTTCTTCTCAAGGCAGTTTACAATAAAAATATCAATAAAATGCATTATAAAACATAATTTATATCTCTGTTTTATATTGTTTTATTATGCATTTTGTTATGCACATTCATTTAAAGGTACAAGAAAAAAAACCTAAACATTCTTCCAACATTTGTACTGGGAAGGCTTGGGTCAAGAGGTAAATTCTGAATAGGCATCTAAAAGCTAGCACAGAAGGCACATCCTAAATTTCAGGAGGAAGAATGTTCCAGAACACGGGTGGGCATTTAGCAGATCTCAGTACATGTAGCAGGACCCCCCTTGATGATATTGGTGAATGACCAGATCTATGAAGCGTGAAGGCAATTTGACCAGCATTCTGGTCCTAAGTTGTTTAAGGACTTACATGTCATAAACAAAACCCTGAACCTGGCTTGGCAACTCCCTGACAGCCAGTGCATTTGCTTCAGCATGTGCACAGCCAGCATGTGCATAGGCAGCAAACTATTAGCTACATCCTGTAGCAGCTGCAGCTTTCAGAACAAACAGAAGGATAGCCCCATATTACAATAATCTATTATTACTGTAGCTAAGCTGTCACTGACTAGGAAATGGTGTGGTTAGTACACCAGCCAAAGCTGACAACAGACACTCTTAGCTATGGAGGTCACTTGATCCTACAGTGACAATAACTATGTACAGATGTTAAATAGCATAGGGGACAAAATTTATGTATTTATTTATATTTCAAATTTAGATACTGCCCATCTCACAAAAAGTGACTCTGGGTGGTACTGTCAGAACCTGCATCCCCCAACTGTTGTTTTTTTCCATTTTATTGCATTCATTGGGGGTCGGATGGATTTGTTTCTGCCACTTGTACTTTGGGGGGGGGGTGGCTGTTAATGGTTGTAA